AATAAATAAATAAATAAATAAATAAATAATTAAATAAATAAATAAATAAATAAAACACACACACACACACACCTCTCTCTCTGTATACATAATGGAATATATAAAAATAAAAACATATATGGCTCGTATATATTCTTTTCATCCTTCTTGGTGTATCGTACCATCGATTCATTCAAGCCATAATGGTGAGCAACGTCCGTGTAAAGCTTTCCTTCCCGAGTTTTACCTTCTGCTGAATGGTGCTGGCGCTTAGGCTCACTACTACCAGAAGGCTTAGAAGATGCAGGACGCTTGGGAGCCGTCGTAGGGCTTAAAACAAAACGAAAACAATCGGATCACAAGCAAGGTACACGATACGCAGAGAACTGTGACGCGTCGGGGAGAAATCCGCGATATAGCGGGGGATCACTGTAGACTATTTTCAAATGTATTATGTGTTAAAATTCTAACTGCCACCCTAGTCAGGGTCACCCTATCCCAGTCCATCACGGGGCACATGGCTGGGATACACCCTGGATGGGATGCCAGTCCATCACGGGGCACACGGCAGGGATACACCCTGGATGGGATGATTGTCCATTGGCCAGTGAGACCTGTGTGAGAAAACTGAAGTACCTGAAGGAGACAGTCACAATAATGCGAGAACATGTCAACTCTTCACACTCAGAAGGAAGGCAGGATTCAAACCTCCAGCCCAGTAGGTGTGAGACAATAGTGCCAGAACTCAGCCTCTGTGCATTGTCATTATTTAGCCAATGTACCCTAATGTCAATGAGGCTGACCGTCTAACATCTATGTACATTTTAGTTCAGCGCATCAAATGGAATTCCTTATTTGTACTCCAGACATAAAGCATACCTTAGAACAAGGTGCAAGCCTGGCTGCCCTTAAACCTCCATCTGATTTCAGGTGAAAAAACCTCACAGTCATGTTTCTTAAACCGTCTCTATCAGGCGAATCACACAGGTCCACAAGTTAGTAGTCAACCATGTTGTGGCTTCCAGTATTTATTTTTTTTGCCTTTACAACAATCCCAATCCAAGGGGATCAAAAAATTCCAAGGGATAAAGAATCTTAAAACAATCCTACTCCCAAAGTAAATACCACCCATCTCTGAACTCAATGCCGTCTGCCCGCATCTGATAAACCTGAATCATCTTGTTTTGATCTTCCTCTTCAGGAAGATAAAGAGGTGGAGTCCCAGCAGTAAACTTGCCTTCCGGTCACCAGATCATTCCATCGTCAGCTGCACACAGGCAAGCTACTGCCTGAAATATTCTGACACACCCACAAAATGTCTACACATCTATAGCCAGCGCTTTACTAATGGGCCTGCATCACAGTGGAATAGATCAGAATCAGAATCAGCTTTTTTTCGCCAAGTGTGCTGGGGCACACAAGGAATTTGTTTCCGGCAGCTTGAGACTCTCATACACAGACAATAAGCGACAGGATACAAACAATAAATTACACTATACAAGAAATACAAATGTGAAAAATTATAAATACTGTAGTATACATATACACATGTGGGTAACATTGTGCAATTAAGGTGTGAGGTAGAGAACAAACAGGGGGGAAATTGACATAAGGCAGGTGACAGCTTAGCTGTTTATCAGGGTGATGGCCTGAGGGAAGAAGCTGCTCCTATGTCTGGTGGTTTTTGTGTACAGAGTTGTGTAGCGTCTGCCAGAGGGGAGGAGCTGGAAGAGATTGTGTCCAGGGTGTGACGGATCTGAAATGATTTTATCTGCCCGTTTCCTAGTCCTTGAGCCGTACAAGTCCTGGATGGAGGGCAGGGGGGCACCGATGATTTTTCCTGCTGTCCGTACAGTCCACTGCAGTCTGTTCCTGTCCTGTTTAGTGGCTGCTCCATACCAGACTGTGATGGAGGGGCAGAGGACAGACTCAATGACTGCAGTGCAGAATTGGATCAGCAGCTCCTGTGGAAGACTGTACTTCCTCAGTTGTCTCAAGAAGTACATCCTCTGCTGGGCCTTTTTGAGGATGGAGGAGATGTCGGTCTCCCATTTCAGGTCCTGGGAAATGGTGGTACCCAGGAACTTGAAGAATTCCACAGTAGATACTGTGGTACAGAGTGTGGTACACTGGAAGCAGTATGCAGGCTGTGTCCTTGTGTGTACATGTGTAATAGCTCTGAATGTTTGGGAAACCAGAGCCAGAAATAAACCTACTGGTTAACAGAATCTGATGGCTGCTCCTTTTGTTTGTCCTGGCATTCTATTGTCTGAGATCAGAGCTACGTGCAACAAATAAGCCCTGCCCACTCTGAGCTCAAACTGTTTACTAATCGGAGTCAGGAAGAAGGCTATGGGGTGGGGTAGTAAGGGTGGGGGGCACTGTCAGACAGAGATCCAGGATTTAACAAAAAAGGCTCAGGGAGGTGTGGGTGTTCAGTTAGGCCCTGGCACCGTCCAATAAGCTAGCTCACGCATTAACACTCTGGGCCATTACTTACACCGACTTAGAGTAAAAGAACAGATGCGACGACAGCCCGGAAAGAACAAAAAAAAAAAAACATCTAACAAACTCAGACGTTACGCAGCGGCTATTTCAGGAAACATCTGTAACTGGTCGTGGAAACGTGTCAGTGAGGACCATGCGGGGAACGGGGCTGGGATGACGGCAGCACAAGAGCCGTAATAATCACACCCTGGGCCTGGAAAAGGCGGGTCAGCCTCCGATAGATTGGAGACCAAAAGGAGGACTGAGGCCCTACGTCTATGAGTACCACAGGGCGGACCACAACAATACAAAGGCAGTCCAGTCAGCAGACAGAAAGACCATTGTGTTCTGGGAAAGACCACCTCTTTTGTATCCAAAACTTTATAGACCACAGAAAAAAATGCGCACAGAGAAACTGAGCCTAAGCATGTCCCGGGAAACGGTGTAATGCTTCAGCTACGGAGATGTTTGCATGTCTGCACTGTAGAAATCTCCAGGAAAACCACACACATTTAAAGCAAAAGCAGAATAAGCACATGAGCGTGGAACCCATACCAGTGAGGAATCAATGTTCCATGTGCCCAAACTGCCAGACAATCCAGTAATTAACTTCCGGTTTTTGACCAGCAGTCTGTCAGTATATGAGGTTCCTATGTGGATGGAGAGATAGGAACAGCTAACTGATGCTAGTGCGGCTAGTGCTAATGCTAAAGCAGCTACTTGATGCCTTTTATGGAAACGGTCTAAGCCGGTTTGTTGTGCGGTGGAGATGGCTGTCAATGGCGAAAGTGGGGGAGGGGGGTAAAGAACAAGTTCAGAGAACAGGTAAGGATGAAATGGAGAGGAGAGACAACACAGCATGGGCCAAAACGAGAACGGCCGGCACGTGCCCGTCAGCCAAGGAACACAGTCAACGAGGGAGACGTCTGCGTGGCGGCGTGCTTATTTTAGGAAAAAGGCTCGTCTCAAGAACACGGGCTTGTTTATGCAAGGCTGGTAATGCGTTTCAGATTACAGGGGGCTGTGTGGAAATTCCTGTGGCAAGACTGGCCTTTTCATTGCAAGAGAGAGGGAGAAAAGGAACTGTTTTTAAAAATTTGTCCATATGAAGGTCCCTTTGGGGGAAGAGACATTTTTTCAGCCTTAGTAAGACTTTTCTCCTCTTTTTTGGGCCTAGACCATCTTAGTAGGCTCTGATGAAATGGGGCACTGAAACTATAGAGAACAGGGAGGCTAGGGGCAGCACAGACTGCACTGTCACAGTCTCATTTACAGTCTAAGTCAACTAGCAGTAACCCCTCCCCCCCCGAAAAAAAAATCTCCAATTCAGTGGGTCCCAAGGACTTACTGCCTTATTTTGCATTCCTCATGACATACAGTGAATAACACATGAATGATAATTACTAAATGCAGCACAAGGGCTAATCTTACAAAATAAATAAATAAATACATACATACAATGCATAGGTAAATAAATAAATAGACATGCATATGTAATTACACACACACACACACACACACACACACACATATATTATACACAGATACATACACAATTATATTTTATTTTAAATTTTATTCTTGCTTTCCGTTATAATTCTGACTCCCTTAATCTGAACACTCGAAGCTATGTCCAATTCAACGTTCTTCTTGCGTCTGTATACATTTGGACTGAGGGGAAGGCAGCTCATGCAAACAAACCTAAGTGAAAATCCAGCATTTTAGCTATAAACACTTCCCACAAAGCCCTGAAGAAACAGCGCACCCACAAAGTGAAAAGTTTTAATAAGGGACTCTTAGAGATTTAATAAGAGTGCACTCTGTATTTTAAAGCTAAAATTAGCTGTGGCCATGTGGGACCGGTGGCTTCTCTCAGAATAGAGTGTTCCCTTGCATTTTCTCTTATTCTACCAAGGGTGGGACAAAGGGCAGGGAAGCTGGGTGATCTGGCAAGGGGGGGGGGGGGGGGGGAGCCCCAGGCCATAATGGCTGCACCTTCACATTAGCTTTAGCCAATGGGGCGTTAAACCATCAGCACACAGAGGCCTGTTGATAGGGGCAGCTCACACAGCAGAGACACGCTGTTTGCAGAGACGGTCTTAACCGTGACCTCCACGCACCCCTCCCCCTCACGTGCCCCACCTGAGCCACACACAAAGATTTCCCCTGTGCCTGTTTTGCTCTTAATGGCTGCATAGGCATCGGTTGCCATGACACATGATAGAGCTGTGAGCAAGTTTTTGAGCAGCTGGAACAAGAGACACAGAGCGCCGATCTGTTATGTACTTTAAGACATGACTGAGGTGTCAGGTTCTATTGCAAAGGTATGGCACCTGGTACCAGACACAAAGGAAAAAAACCTCAAGTGGACAAACATACTTGAGGATATACTTAAGGAAATCCAGCAATGCTTTCCTGATACTTAGCTAAAAACAAAACTTCTGACTTTGGGGGTGAAACGAGAGAATCTGGAGGAAGTCCATGCACACTGCACTCACATAGAGCCAAGGCGGAGACTCGAGCCCCTGTCTGTGGAGGTCTGGGCCGCCCATGCTAACCACAGCATCAGTGTGAATAGATGACTGTCCATAATGGAAAGCGAAGAAACAGGAAACAATCTAGCTAGCAGTGAACTGGATGTAGATGTGCCTCTTGGTCCCAATGACAGCTTCAACCAGACAAGAACACAAGATTTCCCTAAATAGCTGAATGCCTCCATTACATTTTCTCCTCGGATTAACTGGTCAATGATGTGCCCAGGTTGAAGGCAGCCTGTTTTGATCAGTCCTGTGACTATTATTTACACTGTAGGGCAGGGGTGTCAGACTCCAGTCCTGGGGGGTCAGAACCCTGCACAGTTTTTGGTTTACCCTCGTCTAACACACCTGATTCAACTCCTTGTGCTAATTACTACACAGCTATTGAGCTGAATGATTTGTGGTAGAATAGGAAAGAAGTAAAGCTACACAGGGCTCCGGCCCCCCAGGACTGGAGTTTGACACCCCTGCTGTAGGGTAATACTAACAAACTAAGGCTGATTTGATAGGATTTCCTCATGCCTTGGCCTAACATCTATTACCAGAACCCAGGGCATACAGATTCTGTGAAATCCAGCAGAAACTAACCCTGTTTGCTTTACACCATGTGAATTCCTTACCACCAACAAGGAAGTGGCCCAACAATAGATAAGATTGTTATACCCCAGTAATTAGGCATACTGTGTGTGTTGCACATTGTCCTCTAAGTGTGTATTCTATCTCTGTCCTCTGAATGGATGGATACTGGGTTTTTTCCCTCTTTGTGTGTAGTTTGTTTTAGATGATGGTGACATATGTTTTTATACTGCTGCTATTTATATAGATTTATACTAGTGTGCCACCTACTTTAAAATATAGTGTGTTTATTATAGCAATGTGAAGTTACTTAGACAATAAGATGTTTCTCTAGGAAAGAAAAATAATCATTTCTAATTATATAGTTCGCAGCTCTATAAAACAAGGTATAATTGGTACCTTAAGAGAAATTAAAAACAGGTCTCTTAAAAAAAGACTCTCTTCAGATATGCAGGATCTAGATCAACAGCATGTACAAAGTACCAGCTGTTCTTTCAGAGGAGAGAAATAAAACGAACTGTTAAATATTGGCATTACAGTAAGACCTGGCTTACATTTTAATAGCAGCAGAGCAAAAGTCACAGTCATCCAGTATCCAGTGGAAAATGTTATCCGGAATGACCAAAGTACAGCAACAGTCATTCTGTACTATTCGGCAGAGGTTCGAAAGAGGCCACATTGATAGCTCTGGGGAATAAGCAGGAGCATCTAGCCACAGTCAAACAGTCATAGGACATACTGGGTATTGAATATGACTGCAGAGAATCATCAGTGAAGTACAGTGCGTAAATGTACCAGGCCGACTTTCCCCATATAGGTGTTCATTTCATTTGCTCTTTTCCCTCCACAACAATTTTTTCCATCTCAAAAACATTGTGCTGCTTTATTATGCACTACACAAGATCAATAACATCATTGTTATAAACCGAAGTATAAACTCTAGTATTTTTTTTATGCTATTTACCATATTTAAGACAAACAACAGTAACACTGCCAATTTTTTTTCAAATGTAAACAGTTGCATCAATTACTTTTAATGCTTCCCTTGGTGCTTTTAACTATTTTTCAAAATATCATGCAAGCGTACTGTACAGGCAAACTGAGATAACAGGACATCACACCATCATCCCATACGCATCTTTATATTTCCTGATCAGACTAAATCACAGGTTACAGAGTGGAATGGACATCATCAAGTGCCGCATGCGTTACTCTGCTTCAGCATTAGAGTTACTTGTTAACGGTTGTTACTAAGAGGGTTACAATGCGGGGTTAAATCAGAATCAGAGAGGAGCGGGAGCCCTGTGAGGTATGGGGTGGGGGCTTCCTGAATAAGCCGGTCTGCATTAGTTTATTAATTATCACATGTATTTATGATGCAATATGCGCATTTGTTGGTATGCTGTATTACCACTTTAAAGAAATGCAAAATAAAGTCAAATATATAAAAAAGTTAAATCAAATAAATCAAAAAGTTATTTTTACTCCATATGGGTATTGTGCAAATGGCGTGGCTAAATACTACTTGATTTTTTAAAATATAATATGTAAGTGTTACTTAAAAGTGCACTAAAATAGCTCATCGATCACTATTAGTAATATTTATTTGTAATGTCTCAGTGAAAATGCATTTAAATATCAAATTATTCACAGATTACTTCTTACTAGCTACACTGCTAGAGCTAAGATATGTAAGAGAAGCTTTGGCACAGGTACAGTAATAAAATACGAAATAAAATACAAAAACACCGGACAGAAATCAAGGCGCCATTTAGGAATCTCTCATCCACTCATGAAATAAATGTCTGGCCAGAGCTGCTAATGAAAAGTGACATTAGAGCTGATGAAAAAAACATTTTTTAAGCACAAAACTTACTTTTTATTAAACCGTTTACTTTGAATCTTTCACTGAATTTTGGCACATTTAGAAAAAAAGGTTCATGTTGATGGAGACGGAGCTGCTATCCGGAAAGGCGGGGTTTGGGCATAATGAGGCGGAGCTGCTATCTGGAAAGGCGGGGTTTGGGCATAAAGAGGCGGAGCTTGGCTCCATCGATATTTAAACCCTGGTCATAATTCTCCAAAATTTTATCCAGACAGGGTCCAGGCATTAATTTGGATAGTACACAGTTAGGGTGAATTAAAAAGCATGCAGATGTGCCAATTCAGTCAACTGAATGCATCTCAGTTTCATAAAAGGAAGCCGAAATAGCGAATAATCTACAGAGACGCACATGCCACTGAGACGTGTTTCCCAGACCCCCCCCATTCAGCGCCTCTTCCCTTCCCCTTCCCGGTGGGTGAGCACAGAGGCACGGTGAAGCAGCAGGTCACACCCTGCGTAAACAGCCACTGCACTGGCTGCCGCGGTAACACCAGCGATGACGTGTGTTCCAGCTGCTAGGGAAGTGGGCACACCAAAATATTTTGATGTCGACAAACTTCAGCCTTATTCATTATTAGCAGGGCAAAACCCAGAATCAAAACATGATTAGCTTTACTTTCCAATTAAATATGTTTTAATACCCTGCAAGCCTTGTTCCCAGTAAAAGATGAACAAGAATTACCTCCCAACCACATGGATAACATGAATAGTATCTGTTGTGCTAGCCAGATATTGAACATGTGTCAACATCTGGCCATGTATCTGTGTTCCATAACCACTTATTCAATACAGGGGCGTTGTAAGTTTGGAGACTATGCCAGGATGCATTACAACAACAGAATACACTGGGATGGATTCTAGTCCATCTCAGGCCAGAATGTCAATATTTGTGTTTTTTTATTTAAATAAATTGGCAAGGCTGCATAAGCAAGTGCAATAGTTACCTGTATTTGTCACAAAGAAATATTAAGATGACAGACTTGTAACTTGTAAAACTTGTAATGCTTTAGAGTTACTACTGTTATTACTAACAGCATACAGATTAGACATGATTAAAATGCAGCTGTTGCAAAATACAAAGACACAAATAGCAAATGAAAAGGCTGACACCCCTGCGTCACACCAGATCAGCCGGCATTGTTAGTCATTACAGAGACGGGGCTGCTTTCTACATTCCATTACAAATTACACAAAAGCAAGAAAGACAGGAAACCAACAAGAGGCAGGAATTCAGAAATGCCCAAGCTCCCTGGAATGCCTTTAAGCACTACGCCCCCTGCTGTCCCTTACTACTCCACGTCTCTATACCATCAGTGTATAGAATATTTCACCAATAAGCTGGCACTTTCCATCGTTTTAGACATGCTGGTGCCTCGGCACTGTTACATGTTGCCTTGGGCTGCTGAGGACAGAAGGATGATTTGCTTGCTAGTGAACGTTTAGCTCGCACTGCACAGATTAGCTCATTTCAGTCCCCCTTGTCTCCAATTGATATGACCTCTTCTATGCCATAACAGCTAATGATACCAAATCATCAGGGTGTGTGCAACAAAGACAAGCCAGTGGCTGATCTGTTTAGGTTTCAACGAAACAATTTGAATACAAAAAAACATTGCAATTACCAACCCCCTGAATCTATGTGGTAAATACAAATGCTACAGAACCCCAAACAGAAATAAGCTATAGATACTATGTCTCTTCAGTCTTTATACACTGATAATCCAAATATGCTTTTAATATGCATGCAATACAAAGGTATCCCTTTCAACTAACATTTCATGCATTATGTTAATTTGTTTAGGATATGGCACTACGCCCAATAGTAACGAATTTTCATCACAGGGCAAACATGCGTCAAGGAGCTGAGAGCCTGAGACGACAGTAAAGATACTTTATATTTTACCAAATAGCAGTGAAAAGATTGACTGGGTTTAGCTCAGACGATTGGAATGATGCTCACAAAAGTGAACGGAAATTCCAACGGGCTCCACGCCCTGCATATCAGGGCACCGGTTTCACAGGTGCAGCAAGGACCATGCGAGGAATGCACAACTCAAACACTGACATCTCACCATTTATAGTCATCTCTTTATATTGTTGGACATAATAAAATAAAGAAAAGAAAAACTCGTCTTGATATCGGTGTGTCTTTTTGCATAATTGTGAACGGTACGTGTAAACGCTCACGCAAAGTTTAATGTTACCAATCTAAAACTCTTACTGCTATTAAACTAATGTTACGGCTATAAAACTGTGTATACAATTAAGAATTAATAAATATAGTGGCAAATTTAAACAACACGCAATGCAGCTGACTAGTAGAACTTTGCCAGAACACCAAAACATAACCTTTGTTACTTTCAGACAACGTAGCACTTGTTGCATATCGAGGATGATTCCAATCCATCATAAGGATATGAACAAACAGCAGCATTGTGATAGATCACGTAATATTTAAAATGCAAATCTGATCAAATCCGCAGTTTAACACCAGACCCTATAGGCACACGTACCCCATGTCTGAGATGCCCCTAGTTACAGGGATGTAGGTCAA